GCGCCATGAACTGCACCAGCTATACGAAGAGGAGAACTGGGGTGTCCGACTTGCAGATGAAGTGGACGATCGCCATCAGCCGCTTCAGTCGCTTGGATTCCGAGTCGCCATTCTCAAACTCCACGATGGACCGCTGCTTTGCCTTCTTGCCGTCAAGTTGAAGCTTGCACGCCATCGCCGCCTCGTGCTTCTGGCTGTGCTGATGCTTCCGAATAGCCTACTTTTGAATATCGATCCCACCCTCTCCATTGCGCCCGTACTGGTAGTCGGGGTCATCACCGTGCACCATGCAGACTGTGCACTTCATGCATGGACGCCCCTCGGAGGTTTCGGATATGACAAGCCACGGAAAATGGCGCTGCTACTGCTCTTCCGCCTTTGCCTGAAGCTCTGCGACTGTTAAGGGAAACGGACCTTCGTCGTCCGACGGTGTGGACGGCGCGGGATCAGTACGAGCTCGCTGCTCGCCAAGGCGCACGGAGGGCGTGGAGGCAGATGAGGTAGGCCTACCGAAGGTAAGCTTGCGCTGCTGGTATCGTACCCTTCCAGGCTTGCGCACAGGAAGCACGGGCCCTCCCGAGATGCGAGCGGATGGGCCGACGGAAACGGCAGGTGTGACATGCGGTGACGGGCTGGTAGAACGCCCTGACTGGCTAGTAGGACGCCCAGACCGGCTGCTAGGAGACCTTGATGGGCTGCTAGCACGCTCAGACGTGGGGGGCACTGTACCCTCAGGCGCGAATGTGATCCACGATTCTATGTCTAACGGAGGTAACGGGGACGGTGGGGTGGATACAGTTGATGCGGCGTGTACAGATGCCGACGCCACAGTGGTAGCACGACTAGTAATAAGGTCGATGCCTGATAGCCTTGGGAGCAAGGCTACTACATGCTCCTCGACGGGGGAATCTACCACTAGCTTTGCGGAACCAGCGGCAGCAGCCATGAGACCTATTCGTCGAGCACATACAAAACTACCCTAGCGACTCTGCTCGGAGGACGAATACGAGGAACAAGGCAGGGGGGAGGCATCTTGTGTAGAAAACTATAACCACAGGGTGACAGAACAGATGTGGAGCTACAAGAGCCTTGCGCTGCCATTACGCAGTGACGCCTCGGCACGGCACCTTGCATGGGACGGTGCCTGATTTAGCACGAAACTCATCTGGCGCTGGCAGGCATCGAGGATGGCTTCCCTACAGCGCAGGCAATGCGCTGGCGGTATGCTGCCTGCAAATCATGCCTTACAGTTGCCAGCAAGCCAGGTTTTGCACATATCGACAAATCGGTAACAGCATGTGACTCAGGACGCTGTAAATCTGATACAAAATGTACAGCAGTGATGAGAGGCCACGCAACGACTTTATTGTGCGTGCGACGGTTTCCTAGGATTGGATGGCACAGGTGGCCCAATGCGCACATGGGCCGGTGGGAGGGTGGGAAACTGGGCAGATGTGTCGGTATCAGACGGAAATATACGTGCTATCTGAAAATTCAGACGACTGCCTACACCTAGTCTGAGAATTCAGACAAATTTATATAACCAAGATGGTCGTTCAGATGAAAATTAGTGGGTTGTCAAAAAATCAGATGACACGGGAAAAGTGAGTCTGATTCTCAGATGAACAGACGGATTTCGTCTGCTAACGGGAACCCTGGTGGTTAGGCGATCTTGGGTGCTTGGGCGATCTTGTGTGTTTGGGCGATCTTGGGTGCTTGGGCGATCTTGGGTGCTTGGACGATCTTGGGTGCTTGGGCGATCTTGGATGATTGTGCGGTCTTGGGTGGTTGCGCGATCTTGGGTGGTTCGGCGATCTTGGGTGCTTGGGCGATCTTGGGTGCTTGGGCGATCTTGGGTGGTTGGGCGATCTTGGGTGGTTGGGCGATCTTGGGTGGTTGGGCGATCTTGGGTGCTAGGGCGATCTTGGGTGCTAGGGCGATCTTGGGTGGTTTGGCGATCTTGGGTGCTTGGGCGATCTTTGGTGATTGCACGATCTTGGGTGCTTGGGCGATCTTGGGTGCTTGGGCGATCTTGGCGGGGTGTTTTGCGACAACAGTCGGCAGTCAGTTGGGAGCGTGCACGAAACTGCCAAGTGCCATCCGCGCTGAGTGCAAGGCGCAGGTGCGCGAAGGGAAAAGGGGACCTGGGGGCGAGCTGTAGGCAACTAGCGCAGCAACGCCGGGAGAGTCACGTCTTTTTCGTTCTTTGTGTAGATTGCTAGAATTTCGTACGCGCTAATGTTCCCTCTTCCCTTTCCCCCGCTTCCCGTCTCTGCTCGCAGCGAGTGGCTTCCAGACCGCTGGTTCGAGAATCCTCTTGGGGTTACCCCACCGTGGTGACCACGCTTCGGCTGCTGGTTCGTTGTGGAGACGTCGCCTCCATTGAGCATGCCTCCCTCGCTCTCCAACCACATCAGGAGGACCCATGCTTTGGCCACCCATGCTCCATTGAGCACGCATCTCCGTTCTGTGGAGGCAAAACGGTGAACTGCCTTGCGAGTCAACGGTAAGGAAGCGGTATGGGGAGGTTGTGGGGACTTGTAGAAACACCTAGAGAGTCGCGTCGTCGTTGCCTGTTCGTTGTTTCTTTCCTTCAGGAATGCCCTTCTGCATGCTGCAGATAGTTGGGCATTGAGGGAAGAGGACGGAACAGAGACGAACCTTCTGCTGCACCCATCTACCGCACCCGCCTGCCATACCTGTCTGGTGCATCCGTCTGCCATGACCATGGCTCAAAATTGGTTTAGAGGCACCCTTGGGAATCAGGGTACCACTACAGAACTACCCTGCCTCCTAGGGTGGAATTTTCAGCACCCTTTGAAAATCAGGATGTATTCATTAAAAAAATAAAAATAAAAAAAAATCAATCAATACCCTGTTTGAGTCAGGGTACTGATGGCATCACCCTGTCCATTGTGCAGTTAACAGTGTCTACAATTTCAGCTTCTTAGAAGCAAGCATACAAGCAAGATCACAACAGCAAAGCATCAACAGCCTCTCCTACTTCAGCTACTTCCACCAGCATTGCACCACTGCAGAGATACAGCAACAGCGGCGGGGGCAGTAACAGCTACAGTGTTCCTTCCTTCCGCGGATGGAGCTGCTCCTGGAGGTGCTGAAGGGGAGGAAACATGGGGGAAAGGACATGGTGACGCACGGGGAGAGTAGCGAGACACTAACTGAGTAGCGAGAGACTAAGGGCGTATTCGTAAGTTAGCACCAGAAACGAAATCAGAATCAAAGTCGTGCAAAACTGAACCGAACCTCATTAGACTGCTCATTTCGCTCTTGCGCCTCACTGTACCATGCAACTCTGAATTTGATTCTGGTCCTGATGCTACCTCAGGAATACACCTTGAGGGAGCAGCGAGAGACTACGGGAGCAGGAAGATACTAAAGGAGTAGCAAGAGACTAAGGGAGCTGCGAGAGACTAAGGGAGTAGCGAGAGACTATGGGAGCAGCAAGAGACTAGTAAGGGAGTAGCGAGAGACTAAGGGAGTGGCGAGAGACTAAGGGAGTAGCGAGAGACTAAGGGAGTAGCGAGAGACTAAGGGAGCAGCGAGAGACTAAGGTTGTAGCAAGAGACTACGGGAGCAGCGAGAGACTAAGGGAGCAGCGAGAGACTACGGGAGCAGCGAGAGACTACGGGAGCAACGAGAGACTACGGGAGCAGCGAGAGACTAAGGGAGCAGCGGGAGACTAAGGCAGGGAGGAACAGAGAGGCAAACAAGGTTGGGGGGAACAAGCAATAAAGACAGAGGCAGGGAACAGAGACACTTGGGGAGGGAGCAGCCAAAACGAGAAATTGTTAGTGGGCGGGGCTGCCTGCCCACGTGGCAGATTCGACAGTTGGCGTATTTTGAGGGTTGGGAGTAATCTGTTTCAGGGTGTTTTTTGGCACACCCTGACTGGTCAGGGTAATAAGACGAACACCCTTACTACAAAAGGATAAAATATTCCTTTCACTTTTTTAGAAAGGTTCAGACAAAATTTGGCCTTTCAAAATCAGGGTAATCCTGAAAAAGCGACTGCTGGCAAGGGTAATCAGGGTGAAACACCCTTCAAATTTGAGCCCTGGCCATGACTGCTCCAAGGAACGTCCATAAAGCAAGGGAGGTGGAGGGGTGATTATGTGTCCATCAGCGCGCCTAGAGTCTGTCTATATGTTGGATTCGTAGAATGGTTATTAAACTGGGAAATAATAAAAAAGGGTCCTCCCTTTGCCAGAGGCGTGAGCAAAAAAGGTCCGGCAGCTTTTTGCCCCGAGACCTCGTCTTAGAGCCTGTACTACACCTTATTCGTCATACATTACACACACATCACAGGGTCACAAATTTGCAGGTTCATGGGGGCGCTTCGTGTCGTAACCCTGTCGCGGGACCTTTATACGAATTCAATGTATTAGGGCACAAAAAAAAAACTAAGACCCATATGGGCACTGCATGCGACTCGGGGTGGCATCAACCCTAAACTCGCAAAAGGGCCGCGTGTTTAGGGTTGATGCCATCCGGAACGGAATTCCGTCCCCAATGGGTTTTAGTTTTTTTTGCCTGTTGAGAAATGTTGAATGGTACCGCAAACGTCCCGTAAATGTTTAAAGTACTAAACAAACAAAGAAGTGTATTTCAGGTTCAGAGGCGAGGTCCCTGGAGCAGAAAATAGCCGTACCTTTTTTGCGCACGCCTCTGGCAAAGCGAGGACCCTTTTTGATCATTTCCCTATTAAACTGGTAGGGGCTCCTCTATGTTTATAGATAAGCTTAATGATAATTACAATTATGTATGCTTTAGCAGTGTTGGCATCTTAAAACACATATATCCGTCACGGAGGTTCAAACCATCCATCCACCATTATCGAAGCAGGGAGGCACTACCGAAGCTTTTTTTACTCATCCCTCGGCTCTTGGGTACAGTGGCAGACGTCAAGCTGCCTGGCCTCGAGATTGTATGTCAAGTCGGTACGTTCGAAGCTGCAGCATAGTGTGTATCAATCGACGCTGCTGTCACATCACATTCCTCGTCGCATCATCATCGCATCGCATCGCATCGCATCGCATCGCATCGCATCGCGTCGTATCGCGTCGCAAGGCAAGGCTTCGCAACGGCGGAGTACTATAAACGCTACCATGGCTCCAAGGACGGACCCGGCGCCTGCCGCTCCCCCGAGCTGCACCCGCGCGTGCCTCACGAGGAGACTCAACTCGCCTGCGAGCTCGTTCGGTACAATCTCAGCCGCTCATCCGATCCCCGCCGCTCACCAGATGTCCGCTTATTGTTCGTGTGAAAGCCTGTATTCACGCGGGGCGTTACTATCGGAGGACTTGGACTTGCTTATCCCCTTCGCGCGGCCCACGCGGTGATATCAACAGCGGATATCAACTGACTGAAATGGATATCTGGAGCGCTGCTACCAGTGTGCGTGCGGCATGCTTGCGTGCCGTATTCACGGCTTTGCGCGTACCAGCGTCGAGTGACGCCGTGGCTCTTGCTCTGGCTTGATAGCGAGCTAGGGTATTCATTCCAACGGCCTTAGCTCGCCATTCACGGGGTCTAGCAGCAAACAGCAAACAGCAGCATCATCCGAGCCCTCCTCCAGAGCCCTTCTCCCGTGCCTCGCCTTCGTTCCTCCGCGCCCCCTTTCCCTTGACCGTTTCTGCGACGCCCGGCGCGATGGGCGACGAGGGCTGCGACGAGGCGGGAGCGGAGTGGGCGGCGTCGCTGCTGTCGCACGAGAGCGAGCCGGAGTGGGCGCAGGTGGCGGGCATGGCCAGCGACCTCGTCGTCACCATCGGCCACCGCGCCTTCCACGTGCACCAGTACCCACTGTACGCGCTACTAGCGTTTCAATACCCGCTGTACGCGCTACTAGCATTTCAGTACCCGCTGTACGCGCTAATAGCGTTTTAATACCCGCTGTACGCGCTACTAACCTTTCAGTACCCGCTGTACGCGCTACTCCTTTCAGTACCCGCTGTACGCGCTACTAGCCTTTCAGTACCCGCTGTACGCGCTACTAGCCTTTCAGTACCCGCTGTACGCACAGCTAGCCCTGCTGCGCCCCGTTTTGTACGTGTAATTACGCCGTGAGCCATGTGCTGAATGACATGGGTGCCACCGATGCACCACAAAGCTCACTATCCTTCCCCTCCCTTTCCCCTTATCCCCCCCCTTTCCCCTTATCCCCCCCCTTTCCCCTTATCCCCCCCCTTTCCCCTTATCCCCCCCCTTTCCCCTTATCCCCCCCCTTTCCCCTTATCCTCCCCCTTTCCCCTTCCCCATCGCCAACGCAGCAGCATCATTGGACACAGGTCCCATGTGCGCGGACCTGTCCTTCCTCCTCAAACTCCGGCTCTGGAAATCCGTCAACCCGCCTGTGGCTTCCCTCCTTTCCCCTTCCCTCCTGCCCTTCCTCCCCGTCCTTCCTTCCCCTTCCTCTTTGCTCCCCCCCCCCTCCTCTCCCCCCACCCCCCCCTCTCTTCTTCACCCCCAGCTTCTCCCTGTCCACAGTGATCGCCAACGCAGCGTCGTCATCGGACACGGGGCTCATGCGCGTGGACCTGTCCTTCCTGCCCGGGGGCGCGCTCGCCTTCATCCCCATCGCCTGCTACTGCTACGGCCGCCCCTGCCGCCTCTCGCCACGCTCCGTGCTGCTCGTGCGCTCTGCAGGTAGGGGCGTCTGAGACGGCTTAGAATTCGTCAGGTCTTCCGCTGACACTTGGCATCATGCGCCTATGAGGGGACTCTCTTCCACGCCACCCTCTCCATCCCTCGCGTGCCCTCTCTCCCTCTATCTCCGCCCCTCGTCCTCTTCCTCTCTCCATCTCCCCGTGCCGTCCACCCCGCATTAAAGGCGCGACAAGAGATCAACGGATGGGGGCCACCATAACCGCCTTGCGCTAAAGTCCTCCCCTCTCCCCCTTCTCCCCCCTCTCCCCCCTCTCCCCCTCTCCCCCCTCTCCCCCCTCTCCCCCCTCTCCCCCTTCTCCCCCCTCCCCCCCCTCTCCTCGCAGCATCGCTGCTGGAGATGAGCGCGTGTGGGCCGAGCCACTCGGTGCCGCTGCCGCAGCTGGCGGGTGAGCGCATGCAGCAGTTTCTGCAGAGCTGGCCGCACTGCCTGCACGTCCTCGCATCGTCAGTTGCCATGGGCGGGCAGGGCGGGGGAGGGGAGGGGAGGGGATGGGAGGGGAGGGGATGGGAGGGGAGGCGATGGGAGGGGAGGCGATGGGAGGGGAGGCGATGGGTTGACTTTTTCTGTGCAACATATGCCATGATGCGCCATTGTGTGTGATGTGATGTATCCTTGCATCCTGTTTGGGTGCTCCCCTGCCATGCCATGCATTAAAGCGGCCTTCACCAGTCATACCTCCCCCCACTTTCCAATCTGTCTTTCTCTTTCCCCCTCCCCTTTCCCTCCCCGCCCCCACCTCGTCTTCACCTCCCCCCCATCAGTTGCAGCGCCCTCCCACCATCTAACGACACCAGGGCTGCTCGGGCGTCTGCTGCTGAAGCTGCTGCCACCCTGCTGGTCACTGGCGACAAAGGTGCTGCCCCTGCCATGCCTCTAGTGATCATACCCTTCCTTGTTACCATCTATACAGTTCGCATATCACCTAAAATCATGTATCTAGTGGATCAAGTATGTACCTATTGTTGCTGGTTCTTCCGTGCACTCGTGCCTGCGTGCACATCCCAAGTTGCCCCTGCTGAACTCCATGCATGCATCGTGCAGCATGCATCATGCATCCCCCCCCTCCTCCGTCTCTTTCTTTGTGTGCATTCCCTCTCCACCCCCTTCCCACGCTACAGCTGCAGCAGGAGAAGCGGCGGACAAGCATGGTCCCCTCATGCACCTCGCCCTCAAGGACTTCTGCCTTGTGCTCATGAGTCAGTTGCACTCTCATGCATGCACCAATTCATGGACGCACCAATATCTGCATGCACCACTGCATGCATGCATCGCTACATGCATGCACCACTACATGCATGCATCACTACATGCATGCACCACTACATGCATGCATGCATGCACCAATACATGCACGCATGCACCAATGCATGCATGCAATACACCTCTTCATCACCTTGTTCCATCTGGCATGCTTACCATAAGGGTAGCTATCCATGTGACATTCTCACCATAATCTTGGTCATAGTCACTTTTCGTGTCTCTCTCTTTTCCCACTCCCTGACACTCCTCTCGCTCAAATCACCCCTCCCTCGCCTCCCACCAGGCGCACAGAGGCAGAGAAAAGGGCCAGCTGAGCAGCATACTGGAGCAGTACTACTGACAGTGGACGGACGACTGGAGCCAGCATGAGTCTGATTTTGAGGTGCAAAAAAAAATTCCCTATCCCCAATCCCCACCTATCAGGTGCGCAGAAGCAGGGCATGGGGCCAGCGCAGCTGAGCAGCATACTGGAGCAGTACTACTGGCAGTGGACGGACGACTGGAGGCAGCAGGGGCGGCAGCAGCAGCAGTCGGAGGCGAGGCAGAAACAGCAGAGGGACACTGCCTATGGAGATCTCCCCCTGGTCACTGATAAGCTCGACTGGCAAGAGGCCTTTAGGTTTGTGCCTTTTCCTGTGCCACCGATGCCATTTTCTATGCGTTTTGAATCGTGCTGCCTTGTCTTGTTGCTGAATCTGCCACCAGCTGGTGTTTGGGGAGCTTGGCGGATGCCCCTCACTCTCCCCCCCCTCCCCCGCCCCCGACATCTCTCTCCTTCCCTCTTCTCCTTCAGCCACCTCAGCCAGGCGCTGCAGCATCTCTCTCACTTTCTCCCCCACCCCGCCTCCAGCAACCCGTGCTCCACGGGACTCATATTCCACCAGCTCTAACGCGCATGCCTCTTCTCCCTTCTCTCTGCCCGCATGCACCCACATTTGCCCTCCGCCGGCCCCTGTTCCTCTCTCCCCCTGTTCCTCTCTCTCCCGCCACTGCAGGGAGGCGCTGCAGCGTATGTCTCCCCTGCTCCCCCACCCCGCCAGCACCCCTTTCTCCTCTCCACAGGACGCACACGCGTGCCTCTTCTCCCTTCTCTCTGCCCTCGTGCACACGCATGTGACCTCCCTCTTCCTGTTCCTCTCTCTCCCCCCACCGCAGGCAGGCCCTGCAGCATCTGTGTCGCCTGCTGCCCCACCCCGCCAGCACGCCTCTCTCCACGGACCTCCTCTTCCACCTCCTCTCCCTCGCGTGCCTCTGCGCCATGCCGCGCTCCTCCCTGCTCTTCCTCTACCAAGCGGCAGCAGAGAGGCTCACTCGCGATGTTAGTGTGGAGGAGCACCTGCTGTCGCTGCCCGTTTCCTATGCCCAGGTGTGTGATAAGTGGTGTGTTATTTGAGACGTCTAAAGAAACCCAAGTGGCAGCGTGAGAGGATCATTCGCGATGTTGGGGTGGAGGAGCACCTGCTGTCCCTTCCCATTTCCTATGTCCACGTGCCTCCTTGTCTCTTTCTAGTCCTGCTCGACGTCACTCGGTCATCTGTTTCTTGCAGCACCTTCAACTTGCTTTGCCTCCTCTTTTCCCTGGCGGAATCCAACAAATCTGATTCCAGTACCCAAACTTGGTCTCCTCTTTTCTCCCAATGAATGTGGTGTGTGCTGCAGGCCATAGTGACAGCATTCGTGGCGGCTCAAGAGGCGCGACCCCCCCTGCAGTCTCAGAGCGACCTGACCAGAGGAGCGGCTCTCATAGACGAATTCCTCACATGCTGGTGCCACGCCATGCATCAACCGACGCACTCCATTGCCTCTGCTGCTAGCGGCGGCAGCAGCAGCCCTAGAAGCAGCGGTGGCAGCGCTCCAACTGGCAACAGAAGCGCCAGTAGCACACTAACAGATAGCAACCCCAGTAGCAGCAGCAGGAGCAACAGCGGCAGCAGCTCTAGCAGCAGCAGCATGGGTGCAAGAGTGAGCGTAGGAGACTTCAAGCGGCTAGTGAGGGCGTTTCCTGCTCACGCGCGTGCCAGCCACGACGCGCTGTGGGGGGCTGTGAGCGCGTTTGCTGCGGGGGGGGAGGATGAAGCGGATGTGCTGAGCCTGTGCGAGGTGGTTCAGGTGGAGAGGATGGCGCGCGCTGTGCAAGATGCCGCCGTTGCGTGCCCGCACACACCGCTCGCGTTCACCGTGCGGGTGCTCTGCACACAGAACCAGGTGAGACGAGCGCTGCACATGCATGGGGACACATGCACGCGCGCACACACACAAACACGCACGCACGCACGCACGCACGCACGCACGCACGCACGCACGCACGCACGCACGCACGCACGCACGCACGCACGCACTCACGCACGCACGCACACACGCACGCACACACGCGGCACTCTCAGAACCACCACAACTGCAGTCAGGAGCTGCTGTAGCCAGCGCTGCATCCTCGTCATGTGTGTGTGTGCTAGTGCATCCTTTCTCTACTGTGACCGTTGCTGGTGTTCCGAAATGTGTGTGTGTCCATGTGCGATGGCAGGCACTGAAGACAGGATCCCAGGGGTGGATGGATGAGATCAGCAGCCTCAAGGACGAACTTCAACAGGCCTTCCAGGTAACACCCTGCTCGTACTCCGGGGTATTGGTTCCTTGCTCCCCCCCCACCCTCTCTCTCTCTCTCTCAAGCGGTCCTTAGTATTGCTGAACCCTGGGTACAGGCTAGGCAAGGGGAGCAAGGTATAGAGACATGTCCCAATGGGAGACTTGGCTTGTGAGTCCTATGCCTACTGGAACCCTTCTTGGGGTTCAAGGATGGCGAAACAATCCCCGAGGGACATGTCCGCGTCCGGGTCTCCTAGGGGGGGCCAATCTGCCGGCGAGGCCTCATTCACCTTTCCAAGGTAAGACAGGGCCTGCCCCCTCATTCACCTCTCTCTCTCTCTCTCTCTCTCTCTCTCTCTCTCTCTCTCTCTCTCTCTCTCTCTCTCTCTCTCTCTCTCTCTCTCTCTCACTCTCTCTCTCTCTCTCTCTCTCTCTCTCTCTCTCTCTCTCTCTCTCTCTCTCTCTCTCTCTCTCTCTCTCTCTCTCTCTCTCTCTCTCTCTCTCTCTCTGTCCCTCTATCTCTTTTACCTGTGCACATGCACTCAGTCTTCGAGACCCATCGTTGGCATGCGCACGCACAGCATCAACCACTCCACTTCATCTCTTGAAATCTTCTCCCCGCCCGTTCCCGGCAGGAGGTGGAGGAGGAGAGGCAGAAGCGGCGGGGCGCGGAGCAGCAGGTGGAGGTGGAGAAGGCGGCAGGGAGGCAGGGGCAAGAGGCGATGCTGAGCAAGATGAGGGAGCTCGTGGAGGAGGTGCGGGTGCTGCGCACTCAAAACTCCGATCTAAGGCAGAACCTCGCCATTCTGCAGGCGTCCATGACTGTCAAAAAGAAAACGCTTTTTCTCAAGAAGTAGGAGCATGAGAAGTGTGTAACGGTTGGTAGATGCAGTAGATTCAACGAGGGTATATAGTGCTGTGTCATTTGTGGATTTGGTAGAAGTTGTGTTATAACAAAAACCAGAACATGTGGTGAACAAACAGACGAGGCACTGTTTCTAATCCGAGGGCTAACTGATGCATTAGCAGTGAATCGATTGGATCCAGCTTGTGCCAGTGGCCTGGGAAAGGGCAGATTGAACCCTATGCCGGAGCTACTTCATCACCAGCATATCAACACCCATCATAAGGGTGTATCATGTTAGAATACTAAAATGAGTAGGAATGAGAGAGAACAAGGGAGATATACGGTTTGGGTTGTACTCTCTAAGAACACACACCTATTCTAGCCATAACTACTATATGCAAAAGTATGTATAAGTTGACACACAGCCTAGGCTAGATATGGGGTAGTGCTGAGCAAGAACATAGCGCAGGGTGGCACTACTAGTCCAACCTCTCAGGCAGGGGTCCGAAGACCAGTTAGCAAGAGTACAAACGAAACAGGAGCAAACCAGGGCGGCGCTACTATTCCGACCACTGGAGGAGTAGCCACAAGACCCGTCTGAAAGATATATATAAGAGGAGTACACAATCAAGGTCATACAGTGGCGAAAACAATTGTCCGTATGTTTTGCATAAATTTGGGTATTTAGGTTTTAAGACCACTATACATTAAGCCTTAATGTTTAATGGTAGTACGATTTGAGAGGGGCACATAGTGTATGTGTTAATACCACAAATATCCATAATATTACATTAGATCTAACTCATATCCCAAAAGATATACAAAGGGTACATCCGAACAAATAGTTCCAAGCAGAGAGAGCAAACTTCAAAAGTGTGTTTCTAGTTCCTAGCCCACCGACCTTTGGCCTTGATCACTGCCCACACCCTCCTAGGCAAGCTGTTGATGAGGCTAGAGCAAACCTCAACATGGATGTTCTCCCATTCTTTTTGGACCAGCTCTTAAAGCTCCAGCATTCTAGATGAAGGTCTTTTATGCTTGGCTAGCTCCCTTTTCAGGTACGCCCAGAGGTTGAGGCTTGATGAGAAAGAAGGCCACTCCAGGGCTACATATTCATGTTCTCCAAGTCATTCATGCACTAGGCATAACAAATTCTATGGGTTATTGTCCGCACCGAGATAACCTAAGCGGGGAAAATGCTATAGGAATGGAGGGTCGATTCGAGTTCGTCATGCAAAATGCCCTCATATACGGGCCCGTCCACAATACTCTTGCCCACGCCCATTTTTTTCGCGATTTTCCTAGTGCTCACCCCCTTAGGCAAAATTGTGCGTCCACGAAGAGTGCAAGAAGTTCCCTGCCGAGGTTTGCACTAACCTCGTAGGTAACATGCCTAGGAGGATGCGGGTGGTGATCAAGGCCAAAGGTCGGTGGGCTGGGAAGTAGAAACAAACTTATGAAGTTTGCTCTCTGTGATTGGAAATATTTGTCAGGATGTACCATTTGTATATCTTTTGGGAAATGAGTTAGATCCAATGTACTATTCTGGATATTTGTGGCATGAACACATCCACTATGTTCCCCTCCCAAATCGTACCACCATTAAACATCAAGGCTTAATGTACAGTGGTCTTAAAACCTAAAAACCCAAATTTATGCAAAACATACGGACAGTTGTTTCCGCCAGTGTAGCAAGTGAGAGTCTACATGAACTAGACCAAGCTGCAAACAGTGCCACTGATGATCTTTAGGCGCAAGCGCCTTAATAAAGATATCAGTTGTGTTGGCACTGGAGGCCAAGTGTACTATGCGGGCCTGGCGGCGCTGCTGTAGCTCGCGCAGGAGGAAGTCCCGCAGCTGAATGTGCTTTGCTCTGCCCTCCAATCGAGGCTCCTCACACAGGAGAATCATGGCCTTGTCGTCAGCGTACAGAACCGGGGCAGAGCTAGGCCGCTCACCTAAGTCGGCGAGCAAGAAGGTCAGCCAGCAGAGCTCCTGTGCCGCTATGGCACCGGCATAGATCTCAGCCTCACAGCTAGACTGTGCAACAGACGAGGAGCGAGTGGACCTCCACGAGATGGCACCCGAAGCTAAAGTAGTAGCCCTGGGAGGACCTAAGGGTCTCATCGTCGTCTGCCCAAGAAGCGTCTGTGTGCCCAGTAAGGACCACCAGCCTGCATCCTCTTAGCACTAGCCCCATGCCTGATGTACTCGCTAGATAACGCAAAACCCTCTTAGCGGCCGACCAGTGCTGGGGTCAGTGTCTGCCTGAGGCTACAAAGCGAGCTAGGATGCTGAGAGGGTATGCGAGATCTGGACGAGTGTAAGTCATCAGGTACATGAGGCAACCCACTAGCTCTGAGTAAGGACCACCGGGCTCTACTGACTCCTCTACAACTGGAGTCGAGAGCCTGTGGTCTACTGGCAGAGGTGTGGGCTGTGCGAAGGCGAACTGAAGACCGAACCTCTGAAGGAACTGGCGCACCAAGTGTGAATGTGTGAGAGTGATGGTGCGTGCTGCTCTGTCCCTGGAGATCTGCAGGCCAAGGTAGCGGGCGCAGCTCTCCTAGGTCAGTGCAGGTGTGTCTCCTCAGCAGCTCAGCCTTCACAAAGGCCAGCTCGTCTCTGTCTGCAGTAGTGAAGACCAGGTCATCTACATGGACAAGGATGTAGAACGGAGTCTGGCCAGCACGAACGAAGAGCGAAGGGTCTGCAGAGGACGGAAAGAACAGTAGGCTAGCTAGCGTAGCACGCAGCGTATCATGCCATTCACGGGGCGCCTGTCACAGGCCGTAGACAGGGCATTGGAGGAGCCACTGGGTCCCAGGAGGGAAGGTATCGGTGAAGCCCTGCAGTCGGTGCAGGTAGACCTGCTCGTGTAGACTGCCCTGAAAAAAAACAGTGGAGAAGTCTAGGGAGTGGAGCTCGTAGTCACGCAGTGCTGCTACGTGTAGCAGCGCCTGAAGAGTAGTCATCTTCAGGGTCGGGGCGAAGGTCGGAAAGAAGTCCACCCCCTCTCGCTGACTGAAGCCTCTAGCCACGTAGTGTGCCTTGAAGACAGGCAGCTCTTCAGGGGGACGCTTCACCTTGAAGAGCCATCGGCCGTCGAGTACGTTCACCCAAGGTGGGGGAACTGCATCAACGTATGTGCCGGTGGATCTCCAAGATGCCATCTCCAGCTCCATGGAAGCTATCCACTAAGAGGCCTAGGGTCCCGAGGTCGCCTCAGCGTAAATGCGAGGGGTCGGCATATCAAAGGCGTCTGGGTCACCCTCAGGAGCTAGCGGCATGGAGCAGAGATGGGGAGCAGCCTCGGACAGGAAAGCAAGCTCGTACTGCCTATCCTCTAGGACGTCACTACCAAGGGCAGTAGCACCCCCGAGGTCAGAGACCAGAGCGGTAACGTAGTGAAGGCGGCGGGTAGAGGCAAAGTCAGCGTCAGTAGTGATAAGAGCGTGAAGACTCGAGACAGGAACAGACAGGTCGGTAACGAGGGAGGCAAGGACCCGAGGAACAAGAGGACAAGCAGTACGAAGGTAGTCAGACAGAGGGGGAGGCGCGACAGCGAGCGACGACGGAGGAGGCGAAGGCAGGAGGGGAGGACGAGATGCATGGGAACGAAGCAACATAGGGTGAGAATGCATAACAGGGGAGACAAGACGAGCACGAGAGGGACGTCGAGACCAGAAGTGAGACGGAGGCATCGGGTCAGGAGACACGGGAGTAGTAACAGGAGGGAAACGAGGTGGGAAACGAGCCGGGGACGAGTCCGGCGGAGGAAACACAGAAACGTGGACAGGAAGGGGAGGAGGTGGCTGGGGAGGCACAGGCAAGCGATCAGGGGAGGGAAGGCCGAGCAGGCGAAGGGCGGACACCAGCGGCGACTGCTGCTGCTGCTGCTCAACGTCGACACCTGGACCGCCAGCTGCACCGCAGCTACCTCCGGAACACTCCACTCCAACACCCCCAGTACGAGCACCCCCAGAGTGAGAACCCTTTGTAGAACCGGTGCCACCCCCGAGTCCGCCGGGACAAGCCACGACAGGAACCCCAGGACTGGCACCCTCCTCAACGCCAGCACACCCAGAGGCCACGAACTGCTGCTGCTCTTACGACGGTAGTCGCGGCTGCCGCGGTGGCAACGGCTTTGGCGGTGGCGACTACGACGGAGGAGGGGACACCGGGGGAGAGGCAGGTGGCGAGAACTACGACACGAGGCCACCGGAGTGAGCCGACTCCTCGACCGGGACAACCGACGTGAGGGAAGTGACGTGAGACACACTAGACAGAGCAGGACGGGGAGGGAGAGGAGCAGGGGCTACCAGGGGAGTGGGAACCAGAAATAGGGGCGGGGAAACCGGGAGACCTCGGAGGGGAAAGCGATGATAAAAGGAGATAGACTCGTTGAAAGTGGCGCCACAGGAGTGAAAGAAACGGTGAGATGGCGGGTGGTAGAAGTGCCCGTCGGACGAGTCAAGGGGGAAACCGAGGAAGACACAGGGGACAATGCGGGCAGTGAGCTTGTCCATGCCAGGGGCACGAATGTGAGCGAGGCAGCCCCAGACGTGGAACGCGGACGTGTCACCAGGGAACCCAGTCCAGAGAAAAGTCGGCGAAACCTGCGGCCGCTGAGATCACGGCCAGGGGGTAAAGCTGGTGAGCGGTGTCGCGAACAGCGAACGGCCACAGAAAATGAGGTGCACCGGCATGAATCATGGAGGTAAGAGCCACCTCCAAGACCAAGCCGATGCGTCACTCAGCGACCCCATTCTGCTGCGGGTAGTTCGGTAGGGTGTACGACTGGGTGATGCCCTACGCACGACAGAACTGTCCGAGCCGACCAGAGGCGAACTCGCCGCCACGGTCAGAGTGGAGACACAGCACAAGGAGTGTCACAGAATCGAATGTGTCGAGGAAATGTTGTACTATCGATTGATACAAGGCGCTTTTATACTTCCAAAGTACATCGGGTAACCAGGTTTATCATATCTCAAGGGAATAGACCCTTCTAGAAAATAGAATCACCCTGCGTATAGCCACGCGAGGCTATTGGCTTTAAGGGATTACGACATGATTACGCTAGATGTAGCGTGCCAGTACATCCCGAGCCGGGTCGGTGATATAATGATAATAACAGGATAAACCAAA